CCGAGATCGCCCACAGCTGTGTCGGTGGAGCCCAAACATACTCGTAGCATGTGTGTGTGGCGGTGGTGAAGGTCGACCTCCCAAGATGGCAAGGTTTTGTGGTTCACGGCTTCGTGAACCCGCCGCATGTCTTCCCAGCGCTCGGCCATCGCGTGTGGCCAGGCACGGTGAGCCTCTTCATTCAGGAGGGAAACACACAGGCACAATTAATCGTCGATTCCCCAGAGAATATGTGAGAATATGGGAAGTGGGGGGAAGACAGAAACCCAGAAAATATGGGGAAATAGGGGGGATATGTTTATTTGTGTGTATTTAAGTGTGTGTGTCCTGGGCCCCCTTCATTCATGTGGGTTCAGCATGTGGCCTCCAGATGTTCCACATGTGAATCCAGCCACGTATGTTTCCAGCTTCCTGCTGTATATTTTGGACCCAGTGCCATCGCCATGGACCTGGGGCTCACGGCCAGCCAGCAGGGCATGCTCTCGACGGCCCTCCTCTCTGGGATGTTCACTGGCATCCTGGTCATGGTGGGCGAAATCCGTATCCGCGGCCTAGCGGGCTGGGCCCCTGGGCCGCGACCCCGCGGATACGGGGTGTTTTTTTCGCGGATGCCCCGCACGAGATGTATCCGTGCGACCGCGTATCCGCGGGATCTCGCCCTGGAATCCAGACCGCGAGGGCGCGGCTACGGATATGCTTGCCGCCCGCGAGGTCAGCGGCTGGTGCGGCGACGTCGCCGGCCGGCGGTTCCCGATCTCGAAGGGCAGACGACGGCGTAAGCATACACTCTGTGCGCTCCGCGCGGGTTCCTTGGATCGGCGCATGACCCCCCCCCCGGCGGTTCCTCCGCCGCCGCCCTGGGCACGTTCCGTGCTAGGGGAACACAAAGTCACATAAGCATAAAAACTCGGAGGTCCGCGCGGATTTCTCGGATCGGCGCTGGACCCCCCTCCCTGGCGCGCGGAGCGCGCCAGGGGTGGCGCCGGAGGCGCCGCCGGGGGTCCCCAGCGCCGATCCGAGAAATCCGCGCGGACCTCCGAGTTTTTATGTTTATGTGACTTTTTGTTCCCCTACGTGCGCCAGGGAGGGGGTCCAGCGGCGATCCAGGAAATCCGCGTGGACCTCCAGAAGCTATGCTCATGCCGTTTTTCGCTACCCACCAAGCCACCCAAACCAAGTTCGAATGTCCCAAGTTGCCCTCCATTCCCAGTGTGGGGAGGCGTCCTGGAACATGGAAAAAGAGCGATGGAACCCGTACGCTCCCCGATCCGAAATTTGGGACTTTAGGCTGGGTTGGGGTGGTCTGGCAGGTAGTCCTTTTTCTGCCTCCAGGTTCCCGATCGTGGTCAGCAGCATCTCCACCGCCCTCATCGGCTGCGCCTCGGCGGCCTGCGGCAGCTTCCGCTGGCTCTTCTGCGCGCGCGCCTGCCTCGGCTTCGCGATGACCCTCGGGGACGTGTCGATGATGGTGCTGCTGAGCTCGAGGATAAAACATCGGCAGAACTCGTATTTGAAAAACTGCACAAATCGGCTACTCGCAAGGGTTACCCTTCGCCAGAGTGGCTCTTGGTGCGGGCCACGGGTCTGACCAGCATTGGCTGACGCGCCTGGACTTCTTGGATATGGCCTCCCTAGTGGCCCTCTCAAGCCACGCACCAAAGGTCACTCTTGCCCAGGGTCACTCTTGCGTGCAGCCGAATCAACATAATCTTTCGGAGATCCGCGCGGATTTCTTGGGTCGGCTTCTGGGACCCCCTGGCGGCGCCTCCACCGCCGCCCTTGGCGCGCTCCGCGCGCCAGGAATGGGGGTCCAGCGCCGATCCACGACATCCGCGCGGACCTCCGAACATTTATGCTTATGCCGCTTTTTCTTTTTTCATTCAGCACCAGAAGCTTTCGGAGCTCCGCGCGGATTTCTTGGATCGGCGCCAGGCCCCTTCCCTGGCGGGCGGAGCGCGCCAGGGGTGGCGCTGGAGGCGCCGCCAGGAGGTTCCAACGCCGATCTACTTAGTCTGCGCCGAGCTCCGAAAGTTTATATGCATGCCGTTTTTTGTTCCTCGATGAGCGAGGTCACTCCTTTGAAGTGGCGCATCCCCGTGCGCGCCGCAACCGAGGGCATCTTCAATGTCGGCTACGTCTATGCGGCGGTGCTCGCCGCCGCTGGCGACGCCTACATGAGAGACCTGAGCTGGCAGAGGCTCGGCTACGCGTAGGAGTGACCCGTCGGCAGAGTGACCTTTGGTGCGGGCCCAAAGGGGTTCCCCCAGGAAAGCCGCGCACCAAAGGACACTCTTGCGCAAGGCCGCTCCCCAGACATGCGACGTCCTGATTTTGTCAGGACGGCGCCCCGGGAAGTCCCGACCCTTTCCCTGGGACCGGTTTTCCGTCCTGCGTCGTTTTCTGACGGTCCCGAGGCCCGGCGAGGGCCCCCGAGGGCCGAAGATAGCTAAAAACCTCCCGTCTGGATTTTTGTTCACGACGCGATCATGTCTGGGAAGGGCACCCTTGCGCAGGGCCGCTCCTGCAGCGTGGCCGAGAGGCTGACCCTTCTCGCCTGTGCCGCGCCGGGGGCGCTGGGCCTGTGCGCGGCAGCGTTCCTGCCCGAGTCGCCCCTGCTGCTCGCCGGCAGGGGCGATCGGCCTCGTCCAAGCGTGCACCACGTGTGCGTCGGTCCCGGCGCACACGCGCAGAGACCTCGCAGTATATACGCTCCGTGGCGCGCGGTTTCTCGCCATGCCGTCCGGGGCATCATATGCGGCAGGAGTGCTGTAGTATGCGTGCGTCGACTGCACGTAAGAATGACCCTTCGCCGGAGTGACCTCTGATGCGGGCCCATTGGGGTCCCCGACCGCCGAACGCGAGGCGGCAGTGGCGTCTTGCGCGCTTGTGTGTTGGCCCCCCCGCGGCCCCCCAAAAGCCGCGCACCAAAGGTCACCCTTACCCAGGGTCACTCCTACGTATAGCCGAGTGCGTGTCGGACGTGCGCCTCCAACAGGAAGCACATGGTACCGGTATGTCCCTCCGTGCCCCAGGCGACAGCGTGGGGGCGACGCGGGTATAGCCGAGTGCGTGTCGGACGTGCGCCTCCAACAGGAAGCACATGGTACCGGTATGTCCCTCCGTGCCCCAGGCGACAGCGTGGGGGCGACGCGGGCCTTCGACAAGCTGCGGCGCCTGAACCGCAGGCCCAACGCGTGCATCGACGTGGAGCCGCGCGGGGTTCCAGCGACGGCGAGGGACCGGGGGCGGCTCGGCGACAGCCTGCGCACAGTGTTCGGGGAGCGCCACCTCCGCACGACCTGCGCCTTGGCCTTCGCCTCGTTCGCGCTCAACGCCTTCTACTTCGTCGGCGCGCACGCCAAGCGGCCGCGGGCGGCGAGCGCACGGGACAGCGGCCCGCTGGCGGGCCAGGAGACCTGCCTCCCTAGGTCCCGGACGCCATGGTTTTGTCACGGCGAGGGCCCCCCAGGGGTCTCGACCCGTCCCCGAGGGCGGGCCTTTCTTCCCGAGTCGTGTCTCGACGGCCCCAGGGCCCGGCGAGGGCCCCCAGAGGCCGAGGAATGCCGAGAGCCGCCCGTCGTGACGATCTTGGGGCGGGAGGTAACGGGAGGTGGCCTAGAAAGAGGGGGGGGTGGAGAAATGGGCCCTACAAGGGCCCTTGTCTCCACCCCTCATTCAGGTGGCGTCCTGCTACCACCCGCCCGATTTTCATGACCCGGAGGGTGTCTGGGTCCTTTTCTTTCCCCCCCTCCCCGGCCGCGCGGAAGGGCCACCCGCCTGTGCACCGCGCTCGCTCCGCGCCGCCCCCACTCTACGTGCGACTCGAGCCTCCTCCTCCTCCTCCTCCTCCTCCGCCTCCTCCTCCTCCTCCTGCTCTCCCTCCCCCTCCTCCTCCTCTCCTCCTCCTCCCTCCTCCTCCTCCTCCGCCCCTCCTCCTCCGCCCCTACCGCCCTTCTCCTCCTCCTCCTCCTCCTCCTTCTCCTCCTACTCCTCCTCCTCTCCTCTATCCCTCCCCCTTCTCCTCCTCCTCCGCCCTCCTCCCTCCTCTCCTCTCCTCCTCCTCCTCCTCCTCCTCCTACTCCTCCTCCTCCTGCTCCTCCTCTCCTCCTCCTCTCCTCCCTCCTCCTCCGCCTCCTCCTTCCTTCCTCCTCCTCCTTCTCCTTTTCCTCTGCCCTCGTCCTGCTCCTCGGCCTTGCTCCTCCTTCTTGTTCCTCCTCCTCCTCTTCCTCCGCGTCCTCCTCCTCCTCCTCCTCCTCCACCATTCCTTTTCCTGGTATTTTTTCTCCTTGTCGCACCCCGAGGCTAGTTTTTAGGGTAGTCCAAGCGTTTCGCCTGAGACTTCCTCACCATTTATGACCCTGAAGCTTTAACCATGATCACATTCTCACCCATGGACGGCGGGTGTTATTAAACGTGAGGCTCTCGCCGTAGCGCCGCGCACATTCGCTTTAAAGCATTTGCAAGAGTTTCACGGATTGAGGGCGGGTGGTTTTCAAAAGGTGGCTCTCGTCTCAGCGCCGCGCACATTAGTTTTAAACATTCGCAACGGTTTCACTGATTGAGGTCGGGTGTTTTTCAAAAAAATGTGGCTCTCGCTCTAGTGACGCGCACATTCGTTTTAAACCATCGCAAGGTTTTCATGGATTGAGGGCGGTTCCTTTTCAGAATGTGGTTATCGCCTTAGCGCCGCGCACATTCGTTGTCCACATTTGCAAGAATGTTACGGGCTGAAGGCGGTTCCTTTTCAATGTGTGGCTCTCGCCTTAGCGCCTTGCGCATGTTTTTGTTGTTGTTCAAGAGTTTCGCGGATTCCCATGACCACCATACCAACATGTTTTGGAAGGGCTCAGGATTATGAGGTCGCAGCAATTACGTTGATTCGCTGTGTTGAACTCTGAGGAATGGTGTTCTGGCACGCTTCAAGATCGTCAAGACGAAAGAGTCGGGTTGTTCAGTGGTTTTGGAATCCAGAGAACATTGTTTTGCCATGCTACAGGGTCTTCAAACGGTTGTCTTCCAACGAGGCAGTTCCGTCAGTGGAAATGAACCGTTGTAGGGGCCTATGACGGGGGAGATTGGAGGGAGGGTTGATTCCAACATCGTTGATGACTCTTGGGTTTCAACTGGTCCTCCTCCTCCTCCTCCTCCTCCTCCTCCTTCTCCACCTCCTCCTCCTCCTTCTACTCCTCCTCCCCCTCCTCCTCCTCCTCCTCCTCTTCCTCTTCCTGCTCCTCCTCCTCCTCCTCCTCCCTCCTCCCTCCTCCCTCCTTTTTCCTCCTTCTTCCTCCTCTTCCTTATGTCTCCTCCTGCCTCCTCCTCCCCCTTTTCTTCCTTCGCCCTCGTCGTCCTCCTCCTCCTCCGCCCAGCTCCTCCTGCTTCCCCCTCCTCCTCTTCCGCCTCCTCCTCCTCCTCCTCCCTCTCCCCCTACCCCTGCTCCTCCTCCTCCTCCTTCTCCTCCTCCCTTCTCCTCCTCCTTCTTCTCCTCCTCCTCTCCTCATCCTCTCTTCCCTCTTCCTCCTCCTTCTTCTCCACCTCCTCCTATACTCTCTCCTCTACCCCTGCTCCTCCTCCTCCTCCTCTTCCTCCCTCGTCGTCCTCCTCCTCCGCCCAGCTCCTCCTGCTTTCCCTTCCTCCTCCTTCATCCTCCTCCTCCTCGTCCTCCTCCTCCCTCTCCTCCTACCCCTGCTCCTCCTCCTCCTCCTCCTTCTCCTCCTACTCCTCCTCCTCCTCCTTCCCCTCTTCCTCCTCCTTCTTCTCCACCTCCTCCTCCTACTCCTTCTCCTCCTACCCCTGCTCCTCCTCCTCCTCCTCCTTCCCCTCTTCCTCCTCCTTCTTCTCCACCTCCTCCTCCTACTCCTTCTCCTCCTACCCCTGCTCCTCCTCATCCTCCTCCTCCTTCTCCTCCTCTTGCCCCTCCTCCTCCTCGTCCTCCTCTTCCTCCGTCCGCTGGCGGGCCAGGAGATCTTCATCGGCAGCCCCTTTGACCTCGTCGGCGCCGCCGTGGCGACGATGCTCGCCCGGTCGCTGCCCCGCCGGCAGGTGCTCGGGCTCTGCATGGTGGCGGCCGCCCTCTCGATCGCGTGCTTCGGCCACGCCGGGCCCGGCCCGGACCGGACGCCCTTCCTCGAGGCGTCGGGGATGGACAGACCCCCCTCTATCAGGAGCGAAAGAAGGACGTACATGTACATGAATCCACGCTGGTTTCGAGAGCACGCATTGCGCAAATGTTCGTATAACGCGGCCGGTCTCGCGAATCGAGGGGCCGTGTTCATGTACACAGCTGGGCGCGTACGTCCTTTGTGGGCTCCCTACTCTAGCAAAACGTGGTTTCGTGACAACGACCCGAGGCCCAAGCCTGGCGGGCGCAAGCCCGGAACACAACGGCCACGGCGCCCCCTCGAAGACCGAAAACGGACAATTCACTAGTCGACGTGTCACTGCTGGGGGCTCTGTCCACCCCCGCAAGGTGATGTACCAGGCCTCGGAGAGGAGCAGAAGCAAAAGTGGGGTGGCACTGTGAGGCTGGGGCTGTCTGGAGGCCCAGGGTGGCCCAGCGCTGGCTATGGCCAGCAGGAGGGTCGGGCAGTTTCTGGATGCTGGCTTCGGACATCTCTTTGCGCTTCTTCGGCTTCCGAGCCGTGACGAGCAACTGCACCAGATGGACCCCAGGAGGCGGTCTCCTGGGGCCCCGACCAGTTCAGTCCCCCCAGCCGCCCCCAACTGTGAGGGCACGGGATCAGGAACCACTGGATGAGGCGTCCAAGGCCTGGAAGCTGGTGGAGCACCGATCGTGGATTGGCCGTGGACATCACAGCCGTCCTCGTCAACTGATCCGCGAACGAAGAACGGTATAAAATAAACTGTTTCGCTGCCAGGGGCGCCTGTCCCTGGGCGGCTGGACAGTTTATACCCCTGCGGTGCCACCGTAGGGGTATAAGCTTTCCAGCCGCCCAGGGACAGGCGCCCCCGACAGCGAAAAGGTTTATTCTATACCGTTCCTCGCCCGTTAAATAATGAGGAGTCCTCCTCCTCCTCCTGGAGGAGGAGGAGGAGGAGGGGGAGGGGGAGGAGGAGGAGGAGGAGGAGGAGGAGGAGGAGGAGGAGGAGGAGGAGGAGGAGGAGGAGGGCCTGGAGCTTCCTGGGCACGCTCCTCGACCAGCGCCCCAGCACCTGCCAAGATCCGCACGGATTTTTCCTGGATCGGCACCGGGCCCCCGTGGCCGACGCGCTCCGCGCGCCAGGGCTAAGTCGGGCCTGTCCCTCTACAGGGGGAACGCTCAAAGATAGTCAAGAAATCGTATGGGGACTATGTTTTCTCAGTATTTTTGGGCATCTGTTGGAGATTTTTTGAATAATTTTTATGTTTCGTCCAAAGTCCCCCTGTAGGGGGACAGGCCCGACCTAACTCCAGGGAGGGGGGGGCTCGGCGCCGATGGCCGATCCGAGGAACCCGCGCGGACCTTCGAAGGTTTGTGCTCATGCCGCTTTTCTCCTCCTCCAGTCACCAGCCTGGAGCAGTTCCCTATCCCTGTGATTGGCCTCACTCGATCTGCATGCCCATCTGGAGGATCCTCTCCGCTTCTGAGGGCGCATCCCCGAGATCGTCATCGCCTTTGGGCTGGCTAATCCTAGGGAAAGGGGCAAGATCGAGGCTGGCTGTCCAAGGCTGGCCTCTCTGGCCTGTACTGGGTGCCCACGGTGGGGTTCGTCAGCTTCGGGCAGCTCGTGGTGGACAGCTACCCCACGCTGGCCTCCGCCACCGGCCTCAGCGCCGCCCTCTGCGCGGGGCGCCTCGGGGCGGCGGTCGCGCCGCTCGCGCTCGAGCACCTGGGGGACCTCGGTCTGTGGCAGGTCGCCGTTCTTCATTTGTTGTCTCGCCGAACGGCGCGGTCCCCAGACCCCCCCCCCACCCTCCACCCCACCGTAGACCAGATCTTGGCTGCTTTTAGCAGCTGCTTCTGGCGCCCGGTCAGGGCCCCCCCCCCCAGTCTGCTTGCGCGACTGGTAGATGCAGATCGACCAAGCACGGGCCCAGACCCAGACCCTCCCCCTCCCCCACCCTTCGGCCAAATCAGCGACGGCAAAGAACGGGTTCAGCTGCGCCGACATTCGCGCGTCAGCTGCTCGCGTGAGCGCCCTCGTTTCACATGCGGTGCGCCGCGCCGGTGGCCCGCGTGAGCCGCGGCGCACCTCGCGACAGACCCATGTCTGATCGTCGCTCAACCGTCGAAAGCAAGAATGCATACGCAACAAAACAAGACACGAAAGCAAGAATGCATACACAACAGAACAAGAAACGAAGCAGACATACAAAAAAAACGCCTGCCAGCTCTTCTGCTACGTGTCCTCCGCGCTGTGCGCCACGGGCGCCGCGTCGCTCTGCCGGGTGCCTCCGCCGGGCGAGCCGTCCAAGCGCGCGGCGCACGGGGTGCCGCCCGCGGGCCGCGTGCTGTCCCTCGCTGGCACGTAGGGGCGCCCCGAGGGCTCCTCCTCCTCCTCGTCCTCCTCCTCCTCCTCCTCCTCCCTCCTCCCTCCCTCCCTCCCTCCCTCCTCCCCTCCCTCCCTCCCTCCCTCCCTCCCTCCCTCCCTCCCCCCCTCCCTCTCCGAGAACGGGGGACTGTGGAGTACCTCGTCTTTTCGTTGGGTTTTCGAACCTTATTCCTCTTCTTCTTCTTCCTCCTCCTCCTCCTCCTCCTCCCTCTCTTCCTCTTTCTCCCTCTTCTTTCTCCTACTCCTCCTCTTCATCCTTGTCTCTCCTCCTCATCCTCCTCCTTCCCCAAGAATAGTTTTTTTTTTTTTTTTTTTTTCTTTTCCTGCCCCCCTCAAAAAAACACGTGTCGCGGCCTTCCGTTTTTTTTGTTGTTTTTTGTTTTGTTTTTTTCTTCCTTTTTTATGCGGCGCGGCCTCCCTGTGTATATTTCCATATATATATACACATAAATATCTCTATATATATATATATATATAGAATCCCCCAATCAGTGCCTGCACTGAAGGGGTCCTAGCGGAAGTTGGAAGATCTGGCAAAAGTTTCCCGCCGATTTTGGTAGCAGGCTGGGTTCCTGGGTTCCCGGTTCCGGGTTCCCGGGTTCCAGGATATTGGTTCTGGGCAGATTTCAGTGGGTTTTTGTTTCCGGGGCTCCAGGGGTCCTGGTCGATCTCCTCATCGAAAACCATCCACTGATTGGGGTTTTTCTTTGGTGTAGTTTCTTTGTTTGGGGGGGGGGGGGGGGGGGGGGGGGGGGCAGGAGAAGAAAAACATTCGATTCTGGGGAAGGAGGGGGAGCGGGAGGAGGAGGAGGAGGCATAGGAGGAGGAGGAGGAGAGGGAGGCCACAGATTTTTTTCCTTCGCCTGCCCGCCCCTCAAAACAAATGAATACGTTTTCCCCCCCCCCCCTACCTAGGCTCTGCCTGGAAGGGTTCTTACTCTGTTTGCTTAAAGGGGCCGGGCAGTGGAAATCGCCCCGGGCGGTTCCCCCGGTCCCCTGGGAGCGGTTCCCCCATTCCCCTGGGAGCTTTAGCTGGAGCTTTAGCTTTAGCTTTAGCTTTAGCTTTAGCTTTAGTTTAGCTTTAGCTTAGCTTTAGCTTAGCTTTAGCTTAGCTTCAAATTAGCTTTAGCTCAGCTCTATCTTAGCTTTCGCTTAGCTTTAGCGTAGCTTTAGCTTAGCTTTTGCTTAGGTTAACTTAGCTTTAACTTAGCTTTATCTTAGCTTTAGCTTAGCTTTTATGTTAGGGCTAGCTTGTCTTTAGCTTAGCTTTAGCTTAGCTTTAGTTAAGCTTTAGCTTAGCTTTAGCTTAGCTTTAGCTTAGCTTTAGCTTAGCTGCAGCTTAGCTTTAGCTTAGCTTTGGCTTAGCTTTAGCTTAGCTTTAGCTTAGCTTCAGCCTAGCTTTATTGTTACTACTGATGCTGCTTTCCTAGGGGCTCCAACTCCTAGGTAGGGTTGCACCGGGATAATTGTTGTGTTTTTTTTCTGGGGGGGGGGGGCGGCGGAAAAAAATCCGACGTGGCCTCATCTGCCCTCACCTCTGGGAGGATTCCTCTTGAAAGCCCCCACAAGAAAGGTTCATAGCGAAATCCTCCACAGGAGGAGAATCACATGCAGAAGGATTGCTATTGAGATGCCTCGAAAGAAGGAATCCCCCCGTTGGCATTGCGTTGGCATTGGTTTGGCATTGCACTGGAATTCTGCTTCGCAGTGCGTTGGCATTGCGCTGGCACTTCGCAAGCATTGCGTTGGCGAGTCCTGATGGAACCCTCCACAGCAGGACTCCCGTTGAAACCCCCTACAAGAAGGACTCCTGTTGAAACCCTCCACAGGAACGGCTCATATTGAAATCCTCCACAAGGGCTCCATGCGCAGCCCTTCACTGAAGGATTCCCATTGGAATCTACCACAAAGGATTTCCACAAATGGCACTGCATTGGCATTGGCTTGGCATCGCCTTGGCATTGCGCTGGCATTGCGTTGGCATTGCTTTGGCATGGCTCTGGCGTTGCGCTGGCGAGTCCTCGTTATTTTTTCCGCAGAAGGATTTCTATTGAAACCATCCACAAAAGGATTCCTACTGAAATCTACCACAAAGCATTGCCCCCATTGGCATTGCATTGGCATTGGATTGGGATCGCCATGGCATTGGTTTTGTAGCCCTGCGTTGGCATCGCGCTGGCGAGTCCTAATCGGACGTTCCACAGGACACTTCTTACTAATCCATCCTAGCAAGAAGGATGCCGAGTGACACCCCCCACGCACACAAGAAGGATTCAAACTGACATCCTCCGCAGAAGGGTTGCATTCGAAGCCCTTCACATACGGATTCCGATTGAAATCCTCCGAACATGGGTTCGCAATGACATGATCCCAGAAGGATTCTCATTGAAATACACCAAGAGAGGATGCCCCCACTGGGCATTTGTTTAACATCGTGTTGGCACTGCGATGGGAATGCGCTGGCATTGCGCTGGCATTGCGCTGGCGAGTCCTAATGCCTCCCTTCGCAGACGGATTTCCATTGAAAGCCCCAGAAGAAGGATTCCCATTGAAATCCACTACAATGGATTACCCCAACGGCATTGCATTGGCATCGGATTCGGGTCGCCTTGGCAATGATTTGGCATTGCGTTGGCACTGTTTGAGCACTGCGCTGCGCTGGCATTGCGCTGGCAAGTCCTAATGCCTCCCTTCGCAGAAGCATTCCTATTCCAACCCTCCACACAAAGGGTTCCTACTGAAATCTACCACAAAGGATTGCCCCCATCGGCAATGAATTGGGGACGCCTTGGCATTGGTTTGGCATCGTGTTGGCACTGCTTTAGCATTGCGCTGGCGAGTCCAATTGCCTCCCTTCGCAGAAGGATTCCAATTGAAACCTTCCGCACAAAGGATTCCTTTTGACATCTTCCACAAAGGAGTGCCCTCAACGACATTGCATTGGCATCGGATTTGGTGTCGCATTGGCATTGCGCTGGCATTGCGCTGGCATGGCGTTGGCATGGCGTTGGCACTGCTGTGGCATTGCGCTGGCGAGTTCCAATGCCTCCCTTCGCAGAAGGATCCCTATTGCACCCCCCTGGGGGATTCGTGTTGACATCTTCTACAACGGATTGCTCCCTTTGGCATAGCATTGGCATTGGATTGGGGTCGCCTTGGCATTTGTTTGGCATTGCGTTGGCTCTGCTTTAGCATTGCGCTGGCGAGTCCTAATGCCTCCCTTCGCAGAAGGATTCCGATAGAAACACCGCAAAAAGGATTACTGTGTCATCTACCATAAAGGATTGCCCTCAACGACGTTGCATTGGCATCGGATTTGAGATCGCATTGGCATTGCGCTGGCATTGCGTTGATATTGTGTTGGCATTGCTTTGGCATTTCGCTGGCGAGTTCCAATACCTCCCTTCGCAGAAGGATCCCTATTGCAACCCCCAGAAGTTTTTTTTTTTTTTTTTTTTTTTTTTTTTTTTTTTTTTTTTTTGAAATCTACCACAAAAAAGCATGGTTCTCGAAATTCCAGCCCCATGCCGTTTTGGCACAGGGCTAGAGTTTCGAAGTCCATGCTCGAAGGGGATGGTTTTCTTTGAAGAGGCTGGCAGAATAACGGTACAGCTTAAGGAAGGAGTGCATCTATTCATAGAGAGAGGTAAGATAATGATAATGATGAAGAGAAGGGTGCAAGATCGTAAAACAACCTTCTGGAACACTGAGGTACTCCAATCCCCGGGCTCTCCTCCTCCTCCTCCTCCTCCTCCTCCTCCTCCTCCTTCTCTTCTTCTTCTTTCTCCTCCTCCTCCTCCTCCTCCTCCTCCTCCTCCTCCTCCTCCTCCTCCTCCTCCTCCCCCCTTCCTCCTCGTCCTCCTCCTCCTCCCTCCCTCCTCCTCCTCCTCCCCTCTTTCTCTCCTCCTCCTCCTCCCTCCTCCTCCTCCTTCTCCTCCTCTCCTCCTCTCTCCTCCTCCTCCTCCTCCTCCTCCTCCTCCTCCCCTCCTCTCCTCCTCCTCCTCCTCCTCCTCCTCCTCCTCCGTGTCCTAGGCCTCTCGTCCGGAACCTCCAGGAGCCTTCGAGGAATTCGGGGGCGTTTCAACACACTCCTTCTCATCCCCTCGTCCAGCTCCTCCTCGTTATCCTCGTCCTCCTCCTCCTCCTCCTCCTCCTCCTCCTCCTTCTCTCCCTTCACTTTGCACTGCTCCTCCTGCGGACGTAGCCTGACACAGAAGACAAACAGAGAGCATCGGAAACAGCAGAAACATTTGAACAGCTCTAACAACATGTGAAAACCACCCAAGCCTATAGAGCCTTCTCCTCTTCCTCCCTTCTCCCGTCTCCCTTCTCCCTTCTTCTTTTTTCTCCCTTCTCCCATTTTCTTCCCTTCCCTTCCCTTCCCTTCCCTTCCATTCCATCCCGTCCCATTCCATTCCATTCCATTCCATTCCATTCCATTCCATTCCATTCCATTCCATTCCATTCCATGCCTTTCCATTCCATTCCATTCCATTCCGTTCTATTCCATCCCATTCTATTCCATTCCATTCCCATCCCATCCCATTCCATTCCATTCCATTCTCATCCAATCCCATTTCAACGCTTTCCATGCCGTTTAATGGCATGCCATGCGATTACATCAAATTCCATTACATTCCATCCCGTTCAATTCCATTCCATTCCATCCCATCCCATTCCCATCCCATTCCCAATCATCATCATCATCCCATCCCGCTCCATTCCATCCCATCCTATCCCACTCCATTCTGTTCTATTCCATTTTGTTCCGTTCAATTCCATTCCATTCCATTCCTTTCCATTCCGTTCTCTTCCGTTCCATTCCATTCCATTCCATTCCATTCCATTCCATTCCATTCCATTCCATTCCATTCCATTCCATTCCATTCCATTCCTTTCCCTTCCTTTCCCTTCCCTTCCCTTCCCTTCCCTTCCCTTCCCTTCCCTTCCTTCCCTTCCCTTCCGTTCCATTCCATTACATTCCATTCCATCCCATTGCATCCCATTCCATCCCAGCCCATCCCATCCCATCC